CGTCCCCGCGAGGCGCTGGCCCGGGCCCTCGGTGCGCCTCTGGTGGCGTCATGACGCGCTCCCGGCCTCCCGCCCGAGCTTAGCGCTCTGGACGTTGCTTATTGCGGAAGTCCCCTGGATTCCTTCCTCCCGTTTTCTGCCTTCACCGCCTTCTCAAAGTGTTTTCAGGGCTGTAGTTGAAAACCAATGAAATAATCGAGTAGGCTTATAAATTGCTTGCTTTCTCCTTATTTTATCTTTTCAGTTAATTTTCCGGACCTGTGTTTCAATAAGAGCAAAGAGCTCCCCGGAATATCACGTTTTACCATTATCATTGAAATTAATAGTTCTTTTAAAAAGATACCTGTTATGTCTTATTCCTGAAATTTCAAACGTAGATGCTTTGGTGAATTCAGTGTCACGTGATAATCAAATGAGAAATATATCCGGTGAATAATTTGTGATGACTTTTGTTTAACTTTAATGAGGTACGGATAGCCGTGTGAAGTGTCGCAGTAGTCCTGAGATACCCTAGCCAATATATGTGTTGAATTTCTTTTTCTCTGGTTGCTCTTGGTAGTAAGTGCTTAGAAGCTCAGGCTGAAATCATGCTCCTCTCATAGTAAGTTGTTTTTACAAATACAGCGAGAAACCTCAGGGGCCCAGACTTAGATGAATGCTAAGCAGAGCGTGGAAGAAGGAGGTATTGTTCTCTTTATGTTCCAGGTGACCAGTCCGAGGAGATTAGGAAGGATGTTTGCGCTCCTGCATCGCAGGGACTGAGCGAGGAGGTCAGGCCTGCATGTAGCTGCTGCGCAGGTGCGATCTGAATCACCCTGTGAAGGATCCTGAATTAAACTCCTGGTCTGAATCATCCCAGGGAATGGGCAAAGCGGTAAATTCCTCTTTCTTGGGAATCTGGCCTCCTCACACTGATGTTCAACTCGGTACCTAGAATACAGGCAGCGTAAATGTTTCTTTCTTCCTCTTTCTTTTCTATCCAAAACACTCCCAGGTAATTTCCTCCAAATAACAAAGGTGTATACGAAATAGAACAAAATTTACTGAATCCTAGTGTAATGTTTTCACCAGAAACACATTTTTGACTTTCTTCAAAAAGTGAATTTGCTCCTCGTTAATTATGAGAGTTCGTTGAAGAGAGATATTCCTGTCTAGTCTGTAGATGAATGCTCTTTTTAATAGGAATTTGTGCTTTATCAGTATGACAGTGGCTCAGAAAAGCTCAGAGGAGGCAGAAGAGCATCCTTGCGAGTCAAAAGTACTCGCTTTGTATGCCTTTGGGAACAGCCACTTCTAGCGTAAGCCTGTAGGCTGCCTTGGTTGGCACTGGTTGGATGAGTGAATAGTTCTGACTTTCACATTCCTGAGAAGCTATTTTCACATTGTGGTTGTTTTGTTCTACATTTTATTGGCTGACTGTTTTGGTTTTTTGTTTTTTTTTTCCCTTCCATCTGCTATATCATGGAGAAACAATCCTTGAGAGTAACTTCTGGTGCCGCTATAAATATAAAGTAGTGATACAATAAGCAGTAAGATGATAATGCTTGCCTGGGGGCCCCGAAAAAAGTTACTTACTGAAATGTCTCCCTGTACTTATTACTTATCAGAGAGGGTGGAGGGAGACCAACTCAGTTAACTGAGTTGTCCGTCTTCCCTGCAGGCAGTGTGAAAGGTGTATTGTAAATTCTGTACCATGTTCAACATGTGAGACTGTATCTTTGTTTTTAGGGCTCTTGGCTTGGCCTGCTTTTGTAGTTTTAGCACTTTGTGTACTAACATCCTCAAAAAAGAGTATAATTAAAGAAAATTGGAGGAGGGGACTGCTCCCATGCTTAAAGGTCAGCTGATGCTTAAAAGCTTTGCAAATTGGGGCCTAAATGTTTGGCACCCAACTGAATTACTCTGGGTCCTGCATAGGTCAGGCTGAAGTCCGTGCCCTTGGGAATATGTTGTTGCTGGAACCCTGCTGTACTAGTCTACTAGCTTAAAGCTAGGAAGCATAGATGTCGGTATGGCAAGTGCTTGCTTAATTTCAGTACAACTTCTGCTAATTTGATTATCACAGAGACAGAGCACTGTGCCCGCTCAATGAGAAGATCTTGACATTTCCGTGATTTAGATAGAGCATTCCAGATTGAAGAGGGATTTCAGGCTGTGCTTTGGAGTTGTCAGAAAAGAAGTAAATAAGTAATTGAGTAATAAATACGTAAATAAGTTTCTCAGTGCCATTGTCACTAGCTAAATCAACCCTGGAGGTAGGAGGATGGTTAGTAAAACTTTGTTTCTCCATGCTTGTAGACTTTGATTGGCCCATGGAGCCCATATCACTTCCAGACCCACAGTTTCCTTCAGAAAATAGCTCATCTGTGCCACAGAAAAAATACCATATCCTGGTGGGTGTGACTGGAAGCGTGGCTGCCCTGAAACTGCCTCTCCTCATCTCTCAATTGCTGGAAATCCCTGGGGTGAGTAAATCTTATTGTTGGTAGAAACATTGTGAAGTTGGTGTTACCCTGTTTCTCGTTTCTAGTAGAGTTTGGATAGCCTCTGTTGAAATGCAAAGTTGTCCCTGGCTTTGAGTCCTGAAGTGTGAAGATTTGTTGTGAGGTTTTTCCTCCTGTTTTTAAATATCAATTAAATTTTTTTCCTATCATTTTAAACTTTTCTACGTTTAAATGTTACTTTGGAGTCAGGTAAGGTGTCAGTTTAAAGGGCAATAGCTATTCTCGAATAATTCTATGGGCAGACATTTAAATTCTGGAATATGGCAGTAGCTTGTTCTAGTTCAGCTTACTTAATTTGCTCAGAAATGACAGACTAGTTTCTTGGTGTGTTTGTGTAGGGGGTGTGTGTCGTCGTCGTCCCCCGCCCCGGGCCGCCCCAGAATAGGTCCTTCTCAGGCAAATTAGCAGATCTGGCTACAGACAGTGGATGCTTTCTGGAATCACAATCTTGCAATTCTGAGACGGTGAACTGTAGAATTTACAAAGATGGACATTGCTATCTAACCGGCAAAGGGAAACCACATCTTGTAAAAACAGAAATAGAAAATACAATAGCCGTATACTTTTTTTACAGGAGTTCATTGTCTGAAGTAACAGCAGCGTCCAGCAGAGGCCACTACTGACTAGAGTCAGGGAGGAAAACGTGGTTAACTTTTGCTTTAGAATAAAGTTAGAGGAAAATGTAGAAACCTTTAACTTTTAAGAAACAAATTGTCTGTTTTGAAGCAGTGAAATGAAAGTGTGTGTGGAGGGAAGACTGTGCACTTAAATATCCAGATATATTGGTTAGAATGCTTAATGAATATCCTTTTGGATGATTTGGGAGGCTTAGCCTCAGAGCTCCAGATATGTTAAGAAGGGAGTCAGAAGAGATATGGTATTCCCTGAGTAATTCTGAAGTATCTGGTTGATGCAGATATCCAAGCCAGAAAGGACACTGAAGATGCAGAGAGCTGCCAGCACACCTGTGCTGTCTGTCTCTGCCATCTGTTGGAAGGACAGTTCAGCTGGCATTCTGGGTTGCAAAGAGAGGACTCAGTTATTTATTACTTGACCTGAAAAGATTAGTAAGGCTAATGGTCCTAGCCTGGCCTGAGAGGGTCCAGGAATGATTAAGAGGAAGTAGGTGGCTAGACCCAGAACCAGCTCCAGCAGTTAATGAGGGATGCAGGATATGTGGGAACTGCATCTTCCTCTAATCCTGTCCCCGTCTCCTGGATCTTCATGTGTGGCTTATCCTCAAAACATACCATGTTCCTCACACACACTCTTGGATTTATTTTGTTGTTGCCTTTTTTGGTTTTTTTTGTTTTTTTTTTTTCTTTTTGCCCTTGATGCTTGGATCACCCTTTTTTGCAGTTGACAGGCAGAACGTAAATGATCCACTCTAGGAATCCAGATCAAACACATTCCTTCCCTGTGAGTATTCGATTCATAATTAAAGGCTGCAGAAAGCTGGCCCTAAATTCTGTGTGAAGGCCTGGGGTTCCGGGACATCAGTTGTAGGCTTTGTGGCCACTGGTTTTAGGCTTTCGTTGCATAAAAAGTGAAAGTCAAGTCTAGTCAGTTCAGGGGCTTCTGGTATTTACTTTGTAATAAATTATACGTACTTATTTACTGCCTTCTGATGTGATTTCAAAGCCTGATCTGAAGCCTACTGAAGTCAATGTAACTTTTCCATTGAGTTTGGCAAATCCTGCACAAGTCCATTGCATTAATTTCTTTATGGACACAACAGAACTTCCTGAAAAAACTGTCAGTGGAAGCAAGGCAGAAGCAGAGTAAGTTTTTTGATACCCAGGGAGATGTGATCAGAGGTTTGAATTTGGAGTTGTTAATTTAATTTGATATTTCTGCTTAAAGTGGTTCTCAGCAAGCAACTTGGTGGTGTGAATTTTGCACTCATTTAACTCTAACATCTCCTTGAAGTTGATAGTGGAAGTGACTGCATCTTACTGCCTTTCGTTTAAGCTCTCCGAAGATCTAGAAAGTTAATACTGCATCACCTTACATTTTCCAGTTTGTTACCGTTGCGTTCTGTTGTGGGGAGACAAAACATAATGTATTATCAGGACTACTGGGTAATTGTCATGAATTTTCACACATATTGTATCAGTCGGATGCCTAATATTTTTGAATGGCCCGGCAGGAAAATAATAACAAAAAATGTGTTGGTTATCATTTAGCCATAAAGAAAGGAAACAGCAAACCTTTCTCTGGGTGAAACCCGTTGGTCTTGAAGCTTCAAGATGTCGCCTGGACTTCTAGGTTTAAATCATGTATCATGTGATTCTGCTGCACTCCTGCCAGATAGCATCTACCTCTGCTTGTAGGTGCAGTTTAACAGAGGAGCTAGTCATCCTCTTCTGTAGCAGTTCTTACTGAAGTTGGGTCTGTCTTTAAAAGATTTTGCCGTCAAAACTGGGAAAGATATGAAAAAATCGTATGTGCGTCCTTTGCCCAAGCAACGTAACTGTGACAGCAGAGACTGGCAATAATGCATGAAGACAAGAAAACAGTTTTGCAAGTAAAGTTTATTCTGGAGAACTGGCTTAAGCCATACAAGTAAGAGAGCTCTTAACTAAGTCTGAACTGTCTCCAATAAAGGAGTTTGAGTGTGGCTAGACTGACTGTTCTGTATAAGCAGAGATATATCCACAGACAAATAGAGGGCGTGCCAGATAAACAGAAGGAAAAACTATGTAGGCTAAAGTGATCTTGAGAACGCTGATCTCTTTCCAACATAGCTGGAAGGACTTGAAGGACTTGCTCAGAACAAAGGACCCCGGAGCCCACCCCACCACAAAAACTTTAGTCGACGAGAATATTTAACCACTGGAGCAGCTTACACGGGGAGCAGCGGAATCGCCACTGCTACTCGAAAGCGTTGAACATCCCTCTGATGCGCTCTACCCCGTAATGGCTTGGATGCAGTACTCGGTACCCACCTAGTCCCTGTCCTGGGCTTATGCCCCATAAGAAATGTGTATTTTTAAGACTAGAGCTGATTGGGAAACTATCTAAAAAAGGAAGAGTATTTTGTGGGGATTTTTGTGTCTCCTTTAGCCATAGATAGGTATTTCTGGTCTAGCTTTGAACATTTTCAGCGCTGAGGGGGTTAAAGGAGCAAGCAACAAAATATCTCCAGAGGTAGATACAGTTGTGTTATCTAAAAATCTTTACATTGTTATGGCTAACTAAAATAAGAACAGCGCTAACAAACCTTACCGTTCAAAACTTTTAGTGTGGACCTGGCTTCAATTATAGTGGTAGCATTTCAGAGAGCAGACAAGCCCCTTTAAACGACAAGCCTTATGTTGCTTTTTAAAGTCACCATATAAATAGCACCTTGCAGACTGCAAGGTTAACACCTCATTGAAGCCACTGGGATAGCAGAGAGCAGTGTTAGCGCCTTTACTGGTGTTGCTGTTTGGCTCCAACAGCTTTCTGCAAGGTGAAGTTAATATGGAAATAATGCTCATTGTTACGAATATGAACTGCATGCTGGAAGGAGCTAGAAATATGACTCTGACATCCAACCAGGGGCCCTGGAAAAAGAGCAGACCTTTCAGGAGGGCCAAAGAACCAAGCATATAGTACCAAATATTGATATTATGTGCAGCTAAAGTTTTCAGTATTTTTTTTCTGCAGGAAATGGGGAAAAAATACCAAAGGCAATGACATTTTATGGCTGGAGTTTCTGCTGCTCCAAGCTCTCCAAGCTTTTATTCTAGTTATGTAGGGTGCATATAATCAACACTGCTCCCTTCTTAGGAGTAACCTGACAGTAGAATAGATAGCGTTGGGGAGATAGGTTAACATATTTTGTCACTTCAACCACTGCTGTTGAAGATAGTTTCTCAGAGTTGGAGGTTTTGAGCAGTCTGTTTTAGCAAGAATGCACACACTGACAACTTCATCACTTGTGTACCTCAGGCCCTCAGTGGGAGGGATTTGTTGGTGAGGCCTGCTTCTCCCTGGCCCCTCTGTTGGGCAAGTAGAGCCATGTAGTGGGTTGCACTGTGAACTGGATCAGGGAGCAGACTGTAGCCAAAAGTAGATAATAACAAGGAAAAGGACTGTTTTTCACTGTGATCGGTTCACTGATCTGCTTCACAGTATTGCCCTACAGATGCCAGTGTGAGCACGACTAAGTGGATGGCATATACTGGGTACAGGGCGAAATCTTTTTCAGCTGGTGTTGGTCCTCTTGTTCCTTGGGTTGTATAACTATGGCCTGAGGTGTGTCTTCCACATGAACAGTCTTTTTGGAGCTTTCCTGGCGTGTGTTGGCCAGTATATTGACTGATGTTAAGGCACATCCTTTGGAGGAGTTGCAGGCGCAAAAGAAGTTGCCTGCATTGTACAGGTGATCAACACATGTACAGCCAGTCTGACGCTGGCTCTGCTTTATGATTGAGCCTGGCATGTGCAGAACGCCTCCGGTTCACTAGGTGTGGTAAGTGGCTCTTTGTGATGTTTGTCAGAGCTACAGCTTTGAGCAGGTCATGGGACATGTGGCAGCTAGAACAAATGGACAAATTCCACTTGGTAAGATTTCTACAGGAGGAAATAAAAGGACCGCATGTCACAGGGCATCTTACCACCTCATAAGTATTCATGTCAAATAAATGTCCAGGGAACCTGAAAGAACTTCCCCAGTGTATACCATGTCACTGAAACTTCAGCCGCCTTTCAACAAGGCGGACAGATTTATCTAAGATAACAGAGAGAACACTTGCATACTTTTACCCTCTCTCCCTTTTCTGTGTGGAAGCCATTGTTTTAGCTGCACAGATGCCTTTTGCTGTGAACATTTTCCTCTTTCCTACATCTTGCCTTGGTAGGAACAACAGCTATAAGATGCTGCCCCAGACTTCCTTCTGTTATTTTTACCCCAGGTTGGAGCAGATTTGATTAACATGGTTGTAAAAACATAACCAGTAGTCTGTAGTTACCTCTCCAGCGTTGGCACTAGAAGGTAGCGCTCTTATCCAGAGAGACAGAGGCACAGAGACAGAGAGAGACGAACTGAAGACAGAAGCCAGCATGATCTGTTGGACCAAGGTATCGTATTCAGTCTCTCAAAGCAGAAGCACTGGTATTTGGGTTTTATCACTTTCATAGCATCTACAGGTAGGCGTTAGTAAACTAAAATCCTGCTATTCCAAAATAGCCCCAGGAAATTTGCCCCAGGAGCTTTGAGGCATCGTTTCTCGTGAAGCCTTGTGCAGCACAGGTGGGCTTACTTTGTGCTCGTGGTGCTAAGCCCCAGCTAGCCAACCTCTCTCTCAGTAGGACTTATGATCACTCAGCACTGTGTGTTCACAGAGCTTTCCTTTGGCTCCGAGTGTGGGAAGAGTGATCCTGCAAACACCATGTAGGCATGCCACCCTGCAGCACCCCTTTGTGCTGTGGTTAAGAGAATCCACGAAGGCAAGATGCTCTCCTACTTCCTTTTGCAGGTGTATTTAGTGATTAAAGGATATCTTTCACAGACCTTTGGTTTGCTGCTTCTTACTGTCTCTTTGAAGTTCTGTGCTGAACTGCATCTCAGTTCTGACCTGTTCTGTCCTCTTTGCTGTCCCTGCTGTGAACCGGCTGTGGAACTGTTTGGCAGACAGTGACTAATCACCTACCTGTTTCAGGGTGGGAATGAAATGAATGTTCATCTCCCATGAACACCTGCAGTGGCCTGACCTTTCAGCTAAAAACAGGTGCAGTTATGCATTGTGTGCAGTAGGGGAAAGTCCTCTGAGAATCCACACAATTCTCAAAGTCTTTGCCATTCAAGCCCTCCTCCTCTACCCAGTTTTAGAGGATCATCCTCAAGTTGTAACTGTTGGTCTGTCTTTCCCTTTCTTTTCTGAATAGCTTGAAGTGAAGGTGGTCACTACTGAGAGAGCAAAGCATTTCTACAATGCCCAGGAGATTCCTGTCGCCCTCTACAGTGATGCAGATGAGTGGCAGGTGAGTTAATCTTCCTTTGGAGATTGCAAGGGCTTCTCTTCTGCCCTCACGAGCCACATGTTTTGTGGTTCAAGTAGTTCTGTCATGCGCTCATGCTTTCTGCTTCCAGCAATGGCCAGTGGGTCATGCTTCACAAAAAGGCAGGCTCCCTGGGGGATTCACTTAGAAACTTGTTCAGGTGCTGAACAGAAAATAGAAATGTCCCTTCAAGTTCCTCTGCAAGAGGCTTTTTTTTTTTTTTTAAATCCAGGGCCAGAGTTCACATCTTTATTGTGGTAACGTATGCTTTGGAATACGGCTTTTAAAGAACATGGTACCAAGCGTGTTGTAAAGCAGGGTGAAGAGGACTGCCCTGACTGTACCAGAGAGCTTTGCACCACCATAGCAGACCTGCAGCAGGCAATGTGGGGAGAAGCAGTCTTTTGCCACATTGGGCTCATCAGCTATCCACAGCTGTCAGAGAAGTGTTAGGAAATGTTGAAAAAGCCATTGCAGAGCCATAGTGAGGGTGTTAAGCACTTGTCATGAATGGCACTTGTCATGAGTCATACTTGTCGTAGAGGCAGCAGCTTAATTCTCCTTATTACTACCTGTTCTAAATCTATGGGCGCCTCACAAAACGATTCGGACTGCTTTAAAACCTAGCTTAGTGTCTGACTGCGGGTAACCTTGGGTGCCGCTGAGTATGTATTACAACTTCTTGCTCTGCATTTTCAGAATCTGCCTGTGACTCAAGAGGCGGAAAAAAAAAGTTGGTGTGACATGTCTGATTTGGTTGTAGAATCGGGTATCTTTGGAGAGCTTTGTGCTAGTAGGGTCAGCCTGGTTTAGCGGTGTAGATGAAGACCACTTCCTGGAGATGGTTTGCACCAGTGTAAAAGGTGGCTGGAACCAAGAGAAGTTCTCCTGGTGAAAGTGGCATTTGTCTCAGAGTTGTCTGCATCTGCTGGGGCACATACATGGAAGAGATCAGGTCATTGTCCTTTGACATTTACAAAGGAATCTGAGATCAGCTTGACCTTCTTCACAAGTTTTCCCCTCATACGAGTCATGGATGAAAGCACCCTACAGGATCCAGCAGTAACAGTGGCCTCTGGCATCTTTCTGAGCCCTTTCTACAGATTCTCCAGCATGAGCTGAAGCGCTCACACATTTTTCCATTCCAGTAAGAGGTAAGGCAGTTGTCAGGATTGCAAACATCTCCAAGCTCTGTAAAATGTCGTCTTCTCCTAACTACAGTTTGAGTGACGTGCTTTGAGGCTCCCTGAAGAGAGAGAAAATCACTGTATAAACATCCACATTTATTTTTCTGTGTTGTTTTCTCTCAGCTGCACGGTATTGGGTTGTGGAAATAGTTAGACCCTAGGTTTCCAAGGAGCAGTGTCTCATGCACATATAGCAGCAAAATTGATTATTTATTTCATTGGCAATACAGCAAAGTAACAGCTCGAGCTGGGTGCTTCCAGGGAGGGATCCCAAACAAAGAAATTCTGGGGTAATTATACCCTTTACAGTCTTATTTCCCCGCCTGCCAGTGAAGGTCTCCTCCAATCTTCTTTACTGAGTCGGTGGTCTCTCTCCTTCTGATTGGTCTTGGCCTACATCCCAGGCTGGTTGCCATGTCCTCGTCTTCCATAGTCCCTTACCTTACTCGAAGGTCAACCACAACCCAGGTGCATCCCATCTTGTCTCCTGCATCCTGTTTTATCCTCGTTAGCTGATTTTTTTTGTATCCTCATTAGCTGGTTTTGCGGTTGCATCGTCAGCAGTGCTTCTCGAGTTCATTGACGGTTTGGCCTTGAGGCCTGCAGGCTTCATCTACTTTAGTCACTTATGTTAAGCAAGAGTCAGACTTATGCTAAGCTGAAGCTAAATCAGCTACAATGTCCTTCTCTAACAGTGCTGAAGCTAAATCGGTTATGATTTCCTTCTATAAGAACTGGTCTGAGAGAGTGCAAGGTGATCTGTTCGTTACCAGTACTCTTGCCAATGCGCTCATAAGCAAGCATCACTTTTATGTGCAGAGAGGCATGTTAACGGCAAAGGCCAGGAAGCTTTCCAGTTGGTATAGGAAAGTGGTGGAGATCTGTTGGGTCCCAGATTGCTATGGTTCAGGCAAAGTTATGTGTGGGGAACCCTAACTGGGTTGATAGAAGAGGTGCAGGCCAGGCTTTGAGGTCTGCTGGCAGAGCTGGAAAGGGGACATGGAGCCATTATAACAGGCCATTCTGACAGAATGGCAGGCAAGAAGTCCTGTCAGCATCTGTTTGCGAGATACTTTATTTTGAAAATAAAACTACAACCTTTAGTGTTTCTAGAAAAAATAAAAGTAAGTGGAGGGGCTGGGAAAGGTTTCAGGGAGCGCCAGCTTTCCGGATGCTGCCTTTTTGTTGTGGTTTCCAGTGACTCAAAGAAGGAACAGTCTGTGGCCCTGACACACCTCTTGCTGGCCTGTGGTTGTGTGTGGCCTCTGGGGATTAAACACCTAACGCTGTTTGCCGCTTCTCTTGACGCTTTACCAGCTAACTGCGCTCTTAAGAAAGTACAAGAACTCCCTTAAGCAAAGCAGAGCTTTGGTGACAATAGAAGTGTTTGCTTAGAGCCAGAAGAGCAAAGAATAGGCCAGTTAGTGAAGTCTAGTGCATCCTAGATAAAGCTAATGGGATTTTTCCCTGCTGTAGTCATGAGGGTTTACTTTGCTATTGTGTGTAAATGGCTTAGGAGCATGCATCCTGATTGAAAAATAGCTTGTACAGTTAGAGATCTAAACCTTGTTTAAAGCCAGCGGAAGGCATCAAAGTGCTTAGAGCACCTGAAGAAACCTCGCTCTTCTAAATCACACGGATTGCTCAGGAAATGCTACCCCTGGTTTAGCCCCGTCTGGCTTCATTTGGCTGATACTGTGGAGCTCTTTTCCCACTCATATGCTATGCGTTGAGGAAGCTTTTGTGAACGCTTCTAAAGTTGGAGGATGATATGAATGGGAGGTGGATGGAGAGATCTCTTTCCTGTAAGCTGGAGTCCATGGTTGCTGGATGTGTAAGTTGCTGCCCTTGTGGGGAAAGGATACCTGTTTGTAGAGCAGCTGACATGTTGGCACTGCTTGTTAACTGTGCTTCCTGGACACTGCTGTGACATAATCTTTACTGGAGGAAGAGGGAAGTCAGAAAAGCGAGCACTGTGGCTGCAGTCCCCGATTCCCCCCTTGCTGTCAGATCTGCCTGATGTGTGTGTGATTCTTTCTCCTTAAGTCTACATGGTAGTTACATATGTGGGATGGGTAAGGTGCAAATTGTTCATAGCATGCATCAGAGGGTTCAGTAGTCGGCATCTTGTCTCATCCGCAGCTGTGGAAAGGCCGTTCGGACCCGGTCCTGCACATCGACCTCAGGCGGTGGGCTGACCTCATGTTGGTGGCCCCTCTTGATGCAAACACGCTGGCAAAGATAGCGAATGGCATCTGTGACAACCTGCTGGTGAGTATCTGGAGCTCTGACTGAGAACAGACTCTTAAGTTCTCTCCCCTCCTGGTGTTAGTCTGTCTGGCCTTTCTTTCACTGGAAACTCTTAGACTCTACAGCATCAAGACTGCTTGCATGTTCTGCTGCCACTTTGTATACATATCTCTCTTCCTCCAGTGTGCTTGCCCTATTCCTTCTCAAACATGCTGTCTTTCTTTATTTCCCTGACCTATGTCCCTTTCCACTCCTGGGCTCTCTCTGGTTCTCCCATTATTCCCCACGCCCTGTTTTGCCTTTCCTGCTTTTTCTGATGGCTGATATTTCTCCCTTTTTACCTCCACCCTGTCTCTGTCATGTGTGTGCGCGCACACACACACACACACACACACACACACACACGAGTTCCTCTCTGCGTTTTTTAGATGCAATCTAGAAAGACACCTGTGAGATCAGATAAAATTGTTTACTTCCTGCTACCTTACCTCCTCTCTCACCTAACTGCATAGCATAGAAATTCAAATATGTGCACACTTATTTACCTTCCATTTTCAGCTATAGGGATTTTTGCTTGTTCAGGCATGTTTTCTGGTATTGAAGGTAGCTCTGGCAAAAAGACTGATTGGAAAATGTATTAAAAGAGTATGCTTCTCTGCTTGGTGATGGGGAAGTTAAGTGGGGCTGAATCTTTTGCGTGCAGGCATTAGGGGTTCATTAGGAAGAGGAGTAGGCTTTTAACCACCCAGAAGATCTGCTGGAAAGCTGCAGGTCTGCAAATGCTGCTGTTGTGCATCACCTTTCAGTAATGCAAGGAGGCAAGAACTAGGAATGGCGCACAGGGTATCAGACCTGAAAGTATGAGCTTGGCCGGAGAGCCCTACACAACCGACTTAGCTGTCCAGGAAAGAGAGAGTGCATATAAGTGAACAAAATACACCCAAACCAACTGCCCTCAGTTGTATGAGCAGGTCAGTGGAGATGTGGGAAAGCTGGAAAGAGCTGTGAGAGGGACAGGCAAGGTCTTGTCTTTCTACATCCGCCTACTACTATATGTGTGATAGTGGTAACAGCAGAAGAGCTCAGGAAGGATGTTAGTGACACATGGCTTCAAAAACCCCTGCTAGTCCTTTTGGAGAGCCTTATGGAGGCATGAGATAACCTCAGGAAAGGAAAGCAAGTGTTGGAGGTGCTGGTTGGCAAGCCACAACAGATTCTAACAGACTTTCCCTGTGCTGGGAAGGGTTCACATCACAGGGCATAAAAAAGGAGGGGCAGGGTACTGTAAGTACCCTGTAAGTACTGTATTAACTGAGCAGAGATCCTGTACCAGGGACTGCTGTGAACTATTGCTGCTTGGGAATCTCCCTTTGCATGATTTAGACCCTGTTAGACCTAGGCAAACGGCTGAATATTGCACTGTTCAGGTAAAACTGTCTTTTATCTTGTTTAAGAGATGAAGTGATGCTAGGTTTTTTGGAAGCTCTGTATCACTGAAGAGTCAGGTATGACCCACTGTAGCATGCAGGAGCTGCTAGATGGTTTGCAATCTGCCAGCATCTTCTATAGCAGGCCAAATGTGTTCCTGTTATCCTCATTTTGTATCCTGGAAGCAGCAGTGCTTCATCTGAGAAGAGTTCTGGATCCATTTGGCATCTTGCTTAAAAAGACTCACTTGCCAACTTCTTGTGTTCAGCTCTACAGCTGGCTTATCTGAAGTGCTGCCTGGGGATTTCGCTTTAGCTGATATGATCTGTGGCCACCTTTCAGCTTCTCTTGGTCTCCCACATGGGCTGTCAGTCTGCACGCATTGTGTTCCAGCTTGGTTTGCTCCAGTGATTGGACTGTTTGCTTGGCCCCAAGCTGGTGTAGGATGGGATCTATCCTTTCTGTAGCTTCCCTCACCGCT